AAGTTCATCTGAGCGGGGTGCACTTCATATTGTGGTTGTTTGTCTTTATTTTCCTTGTCAAATTACTTGCTGTTTATTTTTCCTATAATTAACATGAAACAAAAGTTGACAACCGAAGATGATCATTAATTAGTGCTTTTGTGAAGAGTAGCAACTAAAGTTGCAAAAATTAGTTATTTTATCATTTAAAATGCACTTGGAGGGGAGCTGACTTTTCTTTGCAGAGATTGAGCTGTATGTCAGATCACAAGTGTGTAAATCTAAAAACCCAAAACCCAATGCCTTCTTTAATAACGGTTTCAAGCTCTTGTTTTACAGCCTGTAATTCCCAAACTTTTTCCACTTCACTAGCTATATATATATATTTTAAATAAATTGCTGATTTAATATTCATTTTAGTAAAAATAAATGTGGAGATAAGTGACTTGACATTTTACTGTCATCAAATGGCTGGCATGACTCCCTCTTAGCAGTGTCTAATTTGCATCCTGAACTTTAGCTAGGCATTAGTCTGAAAGGGCAGTCTGACCACAGTGTAAAGTCTTTTGAATGCCAGAGACATAGCTGTTGAAGTGTGTGTGTCAATAGGGAAACCTTGTATTCGGTATACAGCATAAACATTTTGTTCAAATTCCACGCAGGTCAAAGAAACCGTGAGAAGACCGGAGAGAGTAATTGCTGTGTAATCCTGTAAACCCCGCCATGTCTGCGAAGTGTGATGTAATATAGTCCTTGTCTTTCATGCTGCTGGAATAGAGGAGACCCATTGCTTCAAAGAACCTTAGAACAACCATCGTTATATATACGGACTTGATATATTACATGAACCCTCTCAACTCTCTTCATTGTAAGAGACCAAAAACATTCTCATTCTGATTTTTTTTTTTTTTCTTGCTGAGTAAGTTTGTAGTATGTTATAGTATCTCCGTTTTTTGAATGCATTCAGTCTCCAGGGGATAAAAAAAATAAAAAAAAATCTTCACTTATACAACAAGAATCATTCGTGCTGCAGCAAAAAGAAATCACCTTAACTGATTTCAAGCCGTCTACATGCAGATTGCACTAACGTACGACAACGCTAGCGCTAGCCATACAAAATACTACAGTTGAAGAGACGCGTTCCGTAAATTGAAGCTATCACATACCGGCTGAAATCAAAAGTAAGGGGGACTCACTTCTACCTAACATATGATTATTGGCCATAGCGGCACAAGGTAGTAGCAAGCGGATGACAAAACGGTTTATATTCAAGGAACAAAACTAAATGTGCCTGTACTCTAAAAGCACTCTGCAGAGGGCTCTGGAATAATCATTCTGTACTATATGGTGCACTCTTATCTCAAGCATACGTTGCATGCGTGTTCATACCAAGCAAATGATAAGAGAGTGCATTTCCTAGCCTTAATATGGGAGGGTAATTTTCCTGTAGTCCATAAGCCTTTATTATTGTGCAGAGGTATTAGCAGATGTTATTTACTAATCAATTTTGTGTTTTAATATCAAACGATATTTTCGGTGATAATTCCTCATCTGTAATTGAGTGTCCAAGTTCATGCTTAACGCCATTTAAACAGTTAATAAATTCATGAGAACAACGAACCGTTAACATAGTACAACTTTTGGTTCCGTCAATAATCTGCATTTGTATTAGAGCTTGCTAAAATATTAAAAATTCAAGCAAAAATGAAGATGCTGTTTTCTTTTTCCCTCATTTCATTTAAAAATTTAAAACATGCTACGAAAAAATAAATTTGCACAGCACTAAAGCATGAAGCTACTTTCATTTAAAACTGTAAAAAAAATCAAATATAAACCTTTTTTATATTTTTCCACTAGGGACGAGGCTTCCTGGTTGAAATTACAAATATGTGTAGAATATATTTAATAAAAAAAAAAAACCTTATAAAATGCATTATTATAGAATCTAACTATAGATTGGCATAGTGTAATAGAATAAAATATACCTATAAATTGCTTTTTGAAAACAGTCCCAGGTTCACCTGGTCTTCTGTATTCTTAAAAACACGAAAAAAAGGTGTTAAAATTCCTTACAAATCTTAAATGTAATAATTCTTTTTGATGGTCAGCATCCTTTAAGTGTAATCAGATTTTTTTTGTTTCTTCATTATATTAGCTTTGACAAAATGCTTTAATATGCATTAGGTCTTAAACAAATATATTGTTCATACTGATTTGACTTAAATTTGTATAGAGCCGTTTTAAAAAGCAAACTACTGTATATAGCACTAAACGTTTTTCTTCCTGCAACCTGTACTGATATAGATTATTCTGTAACTAAATAAAAAAAAAATATTGTAGTGCATTTCTGTTGGTTGTCTGGTGGTTATGATTGGGATTGTAATTGTTTAGAAATGTTTTGATAAAACTGGAAAATCATGGATTTTAAAATCAGTGCACATATCTGGTTTCTGCAAATTAATACTGCTGATTACTTTTGTAATCCCATTGATAGTGAATTGTTATGAAATTTTCCTGTATAGCTAAAATAAAGTAAATTGTCACAATATCGTGACCTCTGTTTCTAGAATTGGTTTGAACACAGAGCTTTTCAGCCACGTTTTGTTAGGTTTAAAAAAAAAAACCATGTTTTTGTTTTTTACATTACAGAAAGTATTTACCAGATTTATTGCATAAAAATGAATGATATAACTGAACAGTAAGAATATGTGGCGGTCATCTGAAATTTCCTGTTAATAAATAAATCTAAAACATTATTACCAACAGGTTATGAATAATTTTATGTAACCAAACATTTAATTGTGATTACTTATATATAAACATTTTTCATTATGGCCATCTTTGTATTGTGCTTCACAATATTTCAACTATTATAGGACATTGCTGAATAAAGTATACTCTTGTCGCATAGGCAAATCAGAAACTAACATTATCTCAGTTGAACGGATTATCAAATAACATTCCCCTGTTAAAGAAGATGACACACACTGTTCCCTAACACTTTTGTGTACATTTTTGTTTTTATGGAATCGTGTTTTTGCACAAATATCAAAATGTACTTGTCCTATTTCCTTCAGTCTCACACGTTGTATGTACAAATGCTGCCCATGCCCGCTAAACAGTAATAGAATATGTTGGTACTTTATTGAATTATATGCCACAAAAACAAATTGTTTTACCTACTCAAACTACCCATGATGCACCCGCTCACCTTTTAAACTATACTACTTTCAACCTGCACCTGGTTCTTATTGGTAGACCGTGTTTTTGGACTACATTTTTCCTTTTAGTTCACTTTATATTCTCATGCTATATTGGAGCCAGCATTTTAATGCATAGACCAGATAAAGTTTTAGTATATAAAAGCCCCTTCTGTTGTAGCCACTTGGTTCTTTAGAGTCTCAACTTCCAAATGAGTCCTTTGCTCCCCTATGATGCCCATTAAGCACATTGCTTAGTACAGTTTCCAGATATTACCAATGCAGTTTCTCATAGTGTTTGGGCAGTTTCTCATGGTGTCTAGAACACTGCTCTGGAACTTCTAGTTTTGCAAAATATGTCTCCGTATTGATCATGTGACTTGATCTGCTGTTAAACATCTATATGATACATTCCAGTTTCAGATTTGTAAATTAGAATAGACAAATACTTCTGGCCTTGCAGCCTCAATTAAAGGGACACTGTAGGCACCCAGACCACTTAAGCTAATTGAAGTGGTCTGGGTGCTGTCTCCCTATTGCACTTAGTGCTGCAATGTAAAACACTGCAGTTCCAGAGAACTGCAATGTTTACATTGCAGCTCTAAGTCAGCCCTCAGTGACTGTCTAACAGACAGCCACTAGAGGGCTTCCGGAATCCAAACGGACACCTGGTCTGTTATCTGACGCTGGACGTCCTGACAGACCACCAGCGTCAGATTTTCCCCATAGGAGTGCATTGAGTAATGCTTTCTAATGGGGATGTCTAATTTGCGCTGGGCCATTAGGTCTCCCCTGCCGGCTGACGGCGGGAGAGCAACGTGGTGGAGCCAGACCCAGCGCAGAGGGACATCGGCGCTGGATTCAGTAAAGTGGCTGAAGCGGTTTTAACTCCTTTACCTCTGCGGGAGGGGGGGCACTTAAAAACTGGTTTGTTTTTCTGACATTATAGGATCCCTTTTAAACTTTTCAGTAGTCTATAAGTTAACAAATTTCACAAAAGAATTAATCAATAAAAAAAAATTTATATAAAAAACTACTGTACATATATGAAAGCATCATAATCTCCCGTAGTTGTCTACTTTTTAATGCATTATTCCCTACAGATCTGTTCTAGAAGGCACATACTCAATTTGTCAAGTACAGGTGAATGCAATTTATTGATGAAGATGAGACCTCATTTAATTAAGCATCCATCTGCTGATATAGTTTTAACAAGACTGGCAGATTTAAATGTCAGATTTCTGTTCATTAAGGAATTTAATGAAAAGAAAGAAAAAGTCTCTTAACAAAAGGAAAAAAGTTTTACTCTTTAGCTAGTCAGTCTGAGTAATTGCTATCCCCTGCACCAAAGTTAAACTGTTTCCTAATGATTTAACAGTGAATCTGGGTGCCTGCGACATGGCCCCCAGTGATTACATCACAGAGCTGCACGTCACTCCTCCCAGCTAGCACACAGACCACGCGGGAGGAAGACCATGGAGTCAGAGTGGTAACTCTGACTCCCATCCACCTGAGCCACCACTGGTCACTGAGGGTGACTTAAATATTGTGTGTGTGTCTTTGTATGTCTTGTGTGTCTCTGTATGTGTCTTTTGTATGTATGTCTTGTGTGTTTGTGTGTATGTGTCTTGTCTTTGTGTGTGTCATGTGTGTCTGTGTGTATGTATGTGTTGTGTGTGCCTGTCTGTATGTATGTCTTGTCTGTGTGCCTGTCTGTTATAGTGGGCTATAATAAGGGGGCTACCTAGCTCAGCCTTCCTACTGGGCATTGCTATAAGTAAGGTAAAAAAATAGAAAAAAGGTGGGGAATAAAGGTGGGGAGGGGAGCTGACGCACAGATGAGAAATCATATGTTCAAACAGAGAAGTCGTCTGCATATCACCGAAAGAGGAGACCTTCGTTTGTTCCTTACGAAAATCGAACCAGATATCAAATATTTAGTCTCGCAGTATCAACCTCAAGGATCTCATTAGGACCACATACTCGTTTTCCTGGCACTATATTGCCCTGAGGGTGTCCCCACCCTCAGTGTCCCCCTCCTGCCGGGCTCTGGGGGTGAGAAAGGGGTTAAAAATCTTACCTTTTTCCAGCGCCGGGCGGGGAGCTCTCCTCCAGCCGGGCGCGCATTCAGCCAGTTCATAGGAAAGCATTTTCACAGGGATTTTCAAAGTGAGCATCACGCAAGCGCCTCTAGCGGCTGTCAATGAGACAGCCTCTAGAGGCTGGATTAACCATATTATAAACATTCTCTGAAACTGCTATGTTTATAAAAAAAAAAAAAAAAGGGTTAACCCTAGCTGGACCAGGCACCCAGACCACTTCATTAAGCTGAAGTTGTCTGGGTGCCTATTGTGGTCCTTTAATCACTAGTAAAGGTAATTTCAATTTACTTTATTGTTTTCTCAAACTTTATAAAGTTAAAAACATTATAAACATGCATTAAGTAGAAATAAAAAGATAAATGTACGTACATTTTTTTTTGAAAACGCCCTCCTTTCTAAAAAAATATTCTGCACTTGCGTGAAAACTGGGGGGCGGTAAGGAAATTTTTCCATCAAGAAAGATGCATTAGTGGGCGGTAGGAAGAAAAAGGTTGACTACCACCAATCTATAGGTTGATGTTGAATAGAGTAGGAAAAATAGTATGTTCTGATTTTACAATAACACTGCTACTTTCCTTAACTTGAGTGCCTGGACCATGCTTCTTTTCCTACTCTATGTAAATGGGTTGCACCCACTCAGGTCTAGTTTGCACCAAGGATGCACCCTCCTCCTTAGGAACAATATGTTGTTGAGTAACTGGGCAGAATCAAATTCTAGGTATAGAGCCAAAAATTCCACAATCGTGAAACTTAACCTGCTGCCCCTGGATGGAACACTGAAAATCTCCAAATAGATTCCTTGCTCCAATGTTGCAGAATTTGTGTAAATATATATATGTGTGAATGTCAAGTTAAAGGCAACATGCAAGGAAGTTCGTTGGCTGGATCAACTTCAGAGGATGAAAGAACCCATGGAAATACAATGGTATGCCTATATCAGAGGTTCTGAAAACAGCCAAACAAAGGCTTATAGCACTGATAATGAGACTGAGCAGATACCCCAGAGAAGAAATGCCCTGTTTACCAAAAAAACATCCAATGTATATGCACCGCTGCAGGGTCACGGCACATTCATCCAAGACGTACTAAGAGATGAGACTCAACCAGGGGCATACCTAGGGCATTTGGAACCTGGGATGCATCCTATACTTGCCACACCCCAAAGTTTAAATGTAAAAAAGCACCCACAATTGGGTGTGGTTGGCAGGCTGCTGAAGCTAGCCGCTCTAGCCAGCGAGCAGGCAGGCTGCTCTGGCTGGCAGGCCTCTTACTTCCATCAGTACCTTTGTGCGGTTTTTTTCTCCCCCTACCCCTTTGTGTGCCTCTTTGTCTTCCCTCTGCAAGTCTTTGTCCCCTCAATGTCTCATTTCCATTCTAGCCTCTCCATGTATCTCATTCCCCCCAGCCTCTGAATGTGTCTCATTCACACACCCGCAGCCCCTCCATATCTTTTTTTCACACATCCCAGCCACTCCATGTGTCTAATTCTCTCCCCCCCTCCGTCCATGTGTCTCATTCTTCCCCCAGCACCTTCATGTGTCTCATTCACCACCCTAGCCCCTCCATGTGTTTCATTCACCCCCTACCTCCTCCATGTGTCCCATTACTACACCCCCCCACCTCTTCATTTATCCCATTCACCTTCCCCAGCCCCTCCAGGTGTCACATTTTACTCATGCCTCACCTCCTCCTGTACTTAGTGTATAGAATGGTCAAGCCGCAGGCGTGTTGGAAGAGCTTCTGTTCCTCTCCCCTGTCAGATAGGAAGCAGTTCTGTGCTGGACTGAACAGTATTGGAAGAACACGTAGGAGAAATAAGCATCTTATAAAACCAAGGCCCAGTAACTACTAGACTTGAAAGCAGACCACTGCATTCTCCAAATACAGGAACCAGTCACCATCACAGTCAGAGATACCCAACAATGAGTAGTCAACATGAAGAGTTAGGAAAATGCTCCAAAGCCTGTCTGGCTCTATATAATGTATAGTCCCAAGAATCAAGCACACAGTTTAGTTAATGCTTACTTTGGTGCAGCAGCCTGCCTTTGTTATATCAATCAAGGAGAAGCACACTGTGAAATTTAAATATAATATGAAATATATTATTTTAATAAATATATAAAAATAAATACATTATTCAGATCTGGAATGGAGAAGGAAATTAGTCAACTCCACTACAGGCAGGTGTGGAGGCACTGGTGATTGAAGTTAAAGGGACATTGTAGGCACCCAGACCACTTCAGCTCATTGAAGTGGTCTGGGTGCAATGTCTCTTAACACTACAGTGGTACATATTGCAGTTTCTGTGTCTACCAGACAGCCACTAGAGGAACTTCCGGAATCAAAATAGGCCTTTGGTACGTTATCTGACACTGGATGTGCTCACGCTCTGCGTGAGGACCTCCAGCGTTAGATTTTTTTTCCCCATAGGAAAGCATTGAATAAATCCTACTTAGGAAAATTTTATGCGAGCGCGGCAGGTCTCCCCCGCCAGCTGACGGTGGTGGAGGAGCATGAGTGGAGCCTTACCCAGCGCAGAGGGACATCGGGGCTGGATTCTGGTAAGCAACTAAAGGGGTTTTAACCCTTTCAGCACCACAGGTGGGGGGGAGCACTGCAATGCCACAGATGTCGCAAGTTTTGAGGGAGCGTGCAATTGGCATGCCGACTGCAGCAATGTCCACCAGAGCTGTTGCCCATGAATTGAATGTTCATTTCTCTACCATAAGCCGTCTCCAAAGGCGTTTCAGAGAATTTGGCAATACATCCAACCGGCCTCACAACCACAGACCACGTGTAACCACACCAGCCCAGGACCTCCACAACCTGCATCTTCACCTCGAAGATCATCTGAGACCAGCCACCCGGACAGCTGCTGCAACAATCGGTTTGCATAACCAAAGAATTTCTGCACAAACTGTCAGAAACCATCTCAGGGAAGCTCATCTGCATGCTCATCATCCTCATCGGGGCCTCGACCTGACTGCAGTTTGTCGTCGTAACCGACTTGAGTGGGCAAATGCTCACATTTGATGGCGTCTGCCACTTTGGAGAGGTGTTCTCTTCACGGATGAATCCTGGTTTTCATTGTACAGGGCAGATGGCAGACAGCGTGTATGGCGTCATGTGGGTGAGCGGTTTGCTGATGTCAACGTTGTGGATTGAGTGGCCCATGGTGGCGGTGGGGTTATGGTATGGGCAGGCGTACGTTATGGACAACGAACACAGGTGCATTTTATTGATGGCATTTTGAATGCACAGAGATACCGTGACGAGATCCTGAGGTCCATTGTTGTGCCATTCATCTGCGACCATCACCTCATGTTGCAGCATGATAATGCACGGCCCCATGTTGGAAGTAACTGTACACAATTCCTGAAAGCTGAAAACATCCCAGTTCTTGCATGGCCAGCATGGCCAGGATGCTCTGGATTGGCGTATACAACAGCGTGTTCCAGGTCCTGCCAATATCCAGCAACTTCGCACAGCCATTGAAGAGGAGTGGACCAACATTCCACCGGCCACAATCAACAACCTGATCAACTTTATGTGAAGGAGATGTATAGCACTGTGTGAGGCAAATGGTGGTCACACCAGATACTGACTGATTTTTGGACCTCCCCAATACAGTAAAACTGCACATTTTAGAGTGGCCTTTTATTGTGGCCAGCCTAAGGCACACCTGTGCTATAATCATGCTGTCTAATCAGCATCTTGAAATGCCACACCTGTGAGGTGGATGGATTATCTCTGCAAAGGAGAAGTGCTCACTAACACAGATTTAGACAGATTTGTGAACAATATTTGAGAGAAATAGGCTTTTGTGTACATAGAAAAAGTCTTAGATCTTTGAGTTCAACTCATGAAAAATGGGGGCAAAAACAAAAGTGTTGCGTTTATAATTTTGTTCAGTGTGTATATATATATATATATATCGCATTACTTTGTAATGGCCGAAACTTTTTCATTTGCGGTATTCAACATTCATATACATACACACACTGATCAACCACAACATTAACCCCTTAAGGACGAGTGACGGACGAGGTACGTCACAGAGGGGAGACCCTTAACGACGAGTGACGGACCTCGCCCGTCACGCGGTAAAATTAACCCCGGATCGCCGCGATCGCGGGGTTAATGGTGCTCCGGTATGCCTCTGCATTAGAGGCATACCGGGAGCACCCGGTCAGGCTGCCCAGCACATGTGCTCGCTCTGACCACAAGTCAGAGCGAGCACATGTGCTCTGTATACTCACCTACCGGCTCCCTGCACTTCCGGGTTCTGTGTGAAGTGCAGGGAGCCGGATCAGTGCTGATCCTGCCCCCTGCTGGAAAAAAAAATAAAGTTAATTTAAAGTGTCCCCCCCTTACCCATTTTAATAAAAAATTAACCCCTTCCCTGCCAATTGATCACTGACTACAGTGATCAATTGGCAGGGATTACATTTTACTATGATCTGATTTTTTTTTTAACCCCTGAGGGTTAATTCATTTTTTTTAACCCTCAGGGGTTAAATTTATTTAATTAATTAATTAAAATATTTTAAAATTATATATTTAGCTAGCTGGGGTGGGTGGAAGTTAGTGGGGAATTGGGGGATTTGGCGTTAGGCTAACTAGGGGTTAACGTTAAAAAGTTTTAAAATAAACTTTAAAAAGTTAAAAATTAAGCTTAAAAAAATGTTTTAATAACGTTTAAGTAAAAAAAAAAAAAAAAAAAAACCCTTTACCTAGTCCAAATAAAAATTAACCCCTTCCCTGCCAGTCGATCACTGCCTACAGCGATCAAATAGAGATCACAGTATTATACTGTGATCTAATTTTTTTTTAACCCCTGAGGATTAACTTTTTATTTATTTTTTAACCCTCAGGGGTTCAATTTATTTATTTAATTAATTTAAATATTTTATAACTATGTATTTTGCTAGCTGGGGTGGGT